ACTTTCCAGTCATTTGGTTAACAAAATTTAGTCTACAAATTTGATCTCCTCAGCATTACCCTTCTAATTTAAATATAAAGAAAACTAACGAAAAGTCCAAAAAAACTTTAGTTTTAATGAAAAAGGACAAATAAAGGTGTGTAGTGAATAGTACCAAGGTAAAAATATGATTTTTTTTTATTAAAAGTAAACAGTACCGGAAGTATTTCTTTAAAGCTCCCTTAAATATATATATAAGTATATTAGCCTATCCATACGTGCAGCAGATATATGCTTTCTCAATGCAGAAAAGCACATACAGAAATACGAAATATTTTAATTTATTTGAGTAATTTTATCATCTTAGAGTGAAATATCAGAACACCCTATAATGGGTTTTGACATAACTATGATGGCTGCATGACTAAACGATTAGATCAAAACGAAGTGTTGTTTTAATGATGTTACGGCATATAATTAAACTAGAGTCAAATTAAGGCGCTTTTCCGCTGAGTCTTATTTCAAAGAGAACAGTCTCACGAACAAAACTCAATGTTTTGCCTTTGATCATTAGGCATTTGTGGCCAAACAGAGATCTAAGTTTTGAAGGTATTTTTGATATTTTGGCATTTTGTTTCCTATCATCATTCCAAGCGAGCCTAGGGTTGTAATTTGATCCCTGAGATCTAAAACTTTTATACTTCTGCCACTTTGTGGTATGATTAAGTTGATGTGCAATTCCAACCATCCTGGTCTCCTCTCTGAGGCACATGTTTTGTACTAAGTCCAATCCAACACTAGTAGTGATCTTGGTGGACCTCTCTAGCATTATCTTGTCCTTCATGGCTAAATCTTGATAGCGTTTTACTACTTTCTTTACATTTCCAATCAATTTACATTTCTAGTTCTGAAGCTCGGCCCATCGCCTAACAGAACCAGCGTCCCACTTAGTGCATTGTCATTTGGTTAATTAAGAAGCCAGATTAACGTGCAACTTTCATACACATTCAAACACAACCTGTTGGCAGCATCCAACAGTAGCACTCCTATTCTCTCTTTCTCTCAAGCCATCTCGTGGCAGTGAGACTAAAAGCAACACTTCTCTCGAGCCATCTCGTGGCAGTGAAACTAAAAGCAACACTCAAAGCAAGTACATGTTGAACTCAGTCCAGAGCCCGACTTTTGACACCAACATATGTAATTTGTAATATTCATCGAGGATTATAGGGAAGAAATCATGTCGATATGAAATTGTCCTGATGCATATGATAAACTTGTTATTGATTGGATTCATAGGTAGTCAACTTTCTGGTCTTTAGTGTATGCTAACTTTTACAGTGAATTGTCCAAATTCTAGTTGAGCTACCAAAAGACTCAAGATTCAAAACCATTTGACCTTTTGGTGGTTACTGTAAGTTTATACTCTGAATCTTATCATAAACTATTCTTTGCCCAAGTAAAGATTTATTACGGCTAGTATGACCAACTGGCTACGTAACTGGCTTTTCTTGTAGACATCAAAATTTCGGTGAAACAAATGTTCACCAACGTATTAAAGTTTTGACGTGTCAGGGCATACATGACATACGCCACGTGTCGTACAAATTGTACACATGGCATGTGACTCAACAAAATAGGAAGAAATACCCTTGGATGATTAAACAAGTTTTTCTTCTCAATTTGGGCAATGACAAGGTAAGCACATTTCAATCCATTATGGATCAAAGCAAGTTTTTCTCATTTGGGCAATGACAAAGCAAGCACATTTCAAGTTTAAAATTGTATTAAGTGGGAAATTAGGCCATAAATAAGACCACTTCAATTTCAATATTGCATTAAGTGGAAAGTTAGGCCATTTGTTAGACCACTTCAATTTCAATATTGTATTAAGTGGGAAATTAGGCCATAAAGAAGACCACTTCAATTTCAATATTGCATTAAGTGGAAAATTAGGCCATTTGTTAGACCACTTCAATTTCAACATTGCATTAAGTGGGAAAATTAGGTAATAGTGCTTGGGTAGGAAAATTTTGTGGTGGTGATTCACTCTCAAAGCCTATAAATAGGCTTCTCCATCAAGAGGAAAAAACACCAGTTCACAAATACATTTCTCAACACACAAACACCAATTCACAAAAACACACAAAGACCAATTCACAAATACATTTCTCTACTCCCAAAATGGAAGAGAATACTCCCCCATTCTTCAAGATCAAGCCCAACGCCCCTTGAAGATCCATTCATCAACTGTTCATCCTTAGATCAAGCCCCGACGGCCCTTTGGATCAACAACCTCAACAAACCCATACACCCATTCTTCAAGATCAAGCCCAACGCCCCTTGAAGATCCATTCATCAACTGTTCATCCTTAGATCAAGCCCCGACGGCCCCTTTGGATCAACAACATCAACAAATCCACACATCCAATCGTTCTTCAAGATTAAGCCCAAAAGCCCTTGAAGATCCACTCATCCATCAACCTTCAAGATCAAGCCCAAAAGCCCTTGAAGAAATCCACACAACCATTATTCAAGATCAAGCCCCGATGGCCCTTGAAGAAAGTGTTCATCATTCATCATCCGTTCATCCTAAGATCAAACCGCAACGGCCATTTGGATCAACAACCTCAACAAACCCACACACCAAAACCTTGAAGCCTTAAAGTTCTAAAGCTCTCAAGAAAATCCCGAAGGATCAAGAAAACACTCTTCGTTCTTCGTCAAATCCTCCTTCAAGATCAAGCCCCAACGGCCCTTGAAGAACTCCCACCAACTCAAGATTAAGCCCCGACGGCCCCTTGAAGAAAGTGTTCATCATTCATCATCCATTCATCCTAAGATCAAGCCCCAACGGCCCTTTGGATCAACAACATCAACAAATCCACACATCCAACCGTTCTTCAAGATCAAGCCCCGAAGGCCCCTTGAAGAAACTTCCATCAACCTTCAAGATCAAAGCCACGAAGGCCCTTGAAGAAATTTACATCCGTTCATCCTAAGATCAAGCCCCAACGGCCCTTTGGATCAACAACATCAACAAATCCACACATCCATTCTTCAAGATCAAGCCCAAAAGCCCTTGAAGAAACACTCATCCATCAACCTTCAAGATCAAGCCCCGAAGGCCCTTGAAGAAACTTCCATCAACCTTCAAGATCAAAGCCACGAAGGCCCTTGAAGAAACTTACAACTGTTCATCCAAGATCAAGCCTCGACGGCCCTTGGATCAACAAATCTACATCTTACGGAGATAGAATCAGAGGATCAAATTACAAAGAGATTGTAACCCCAAAATCATTAAACACAAAAAATATTATTTTGTACACGTATTCTTGTTTCTTGTTTTCAGGAATTTTTCGTGTTCACATTTCTACGTAAGAAATCATAAAAGTCTATCAATTGCTGAGCATATGCAGGACCAAAGTGGAGACTGGAAATAGCACAACAGGATAGGCTACATTTGGAGTGCTATCCTGCATGTAAGGCAGTTCCGACTGAAAGTTATCTATTAGTAGTTGAAGGAATTTTTATCCTTTACATGCAAAGAATGTGTAATGCACAAATGGGAACAAGGGATTAGAAAACGCGTTGTTGAAAGTAAAGGTATTTATTTGTATTTCAATGGAGTGTGCTGTTTTGTCCAACACCTGATATACTTACCTGAAAACATTAGCGTGATAGTCATTATAGGTATTGTTTTGTTTTCTAAGAAGAATTGTTGAATTTCATATCTCTTTGTGAGTCTAATACTCTTTTAATTATGGCAGTTCCAAGGAAAGGAGACTAAACTCGTGAGAGCAGTTGGTGTCACACAAAGAGTTTGTGAAGTTATGAATAAAAATTAAATTGAAGGAAATGTGTCCTCTGAACTGGCTTTCGAAGAGACCGGTTAGTTTTCTTAATTATAATTCAAGCTTTCAAGGACTGTTAAAAACTATCCAGTATGAGTATATAGAACTATTATTAACAGTCCTATTTCTAAACTTTTAAGTGTCTTTTAAAAATCCTGGAGTAGACGGCATGGACTATAGGACCCTTAAAAACAGTCCAGTAAAATTGTAGAGGACAGTTTTGGCTGGCCTCCATCACCTTGTTTGTAGTAGTGTAACAATGGAGGTAATGGCCTAACTCCTTATAAACTTTTGCTAAGTTTATTGATTCCTCACACACTCTCATGCATGGTGAACTTTTGAGCCTAACACATGGATAGTTCTAATTGGCTGAACTAGAACACATGTCGGCAAACCTATCTCTAATATCATGAATAAAGTTGAGGTTCAATCCAAAAACCAATTGGCCAATCTATTGTGTCATAACAACACCTAAAAACAAATGGAACAAGCCTTAATTTTGCAAACTTGTATTTTTTTTTTAGTGAATTGGAGCAATGATTTATGAACTTTAGTCAAACTAGAGCTTTGGTCCTTGAACTAAAAAATTGTGGGTAGTGGCCTTGAACTTATTACAACGTGCAATGGTCTTTTTGGGTAACTATGTTAGAATTTTAGTCTATTTTTTCACCCTTTAAATCCTATATTTTAAATGAGACTTCTAACAATGTTACTCAAAAAGACTTGCTCCATATTGTGATAAGTTCATGGACCAATACTCATGAATTTGAGATTATCTAGATGCTATTAATAATGGTTCATGGATACTTTCTTATTGCTGTAATTTCTATTTGACTACCGTTACTGAATCCCTCTCTGCATTTCTCTGCATGTCTTACAGATTACCATAATCCAGGCTTTCAGTTGCAACAACTTTTGATTTATCTGGTGTTTGAATTAATGCAATTCCCAATCTGTCTTGAAGAAATTTAAAAAAAAATCTGGATGCATTAAAAGAGATAATAGTCAGTCATTAATTAGTCTGACTATATAAACAAAGTACTCTTCCTTTCTTCAGCCATGAAGTTTTTGAGCATTGAGCAATGGCAAAGAAAGGGGCTGTTGCGTTTTATTCTGTTTTCTCCATTTTTATTCTGAGCATGAGCTTATTATGCAAGGCCACCAATGAAGATAGAAAGGTGTGAATCATTTGTATAAGAAAACAATCTGCTTCAATTTTGCTTGATTACATTAATGCTCTTTCCTTTTAACTGATAAAAAAATTAAACGCGACAACAACGACGATGCAGGTCTATATTGTGTACATGGGTTCCCTTCCTGATGGAGATCCGGCGTACTCACCGTTGGCTCACCACCTTAGTATTCTACACAGTGTTGTTCAGGATGGGTAGTCTATCTAGATCTTTACCTTCTCATTTCGATTGTCGTTATAACTTATAAGCTAGTTTTCATGATCTCTCTCTCTCTCTCTCTCTCTCTCTCTCTCTCTCTCTCTCTCTGTGTCTCAGTTCTCCAGAAAATTTATTGGTAAGAAGTTACAAAAGGAGTTTCAATGGATTTGCTGCCAGACTGACCCACCAGGAAAGTGAGAAAATTGCGAGTGAGTGCTCTGAGATACTTGTTTTAGCATTTGAAAAGAATAATATGGTTTGATTTGAGAATTTATCATGCTATTTAACTGTGGATTGTAGACATGAAGGAAGTAGTCTCTGTCTTTCCAAGCCGAATGTTCCAACGTCAAACAACAAGATCTTGGGACTTTATGGGTTTAACTGAAATAGCCAGTCGAAATTCTTCCCAACTTCAGAGTGATGTTATCGTTGCTTTGTTTGACTCTGGAGTCTGGCCTGAATCTGAGAGCTTTAAAGATGAAGGTCTAGGTCCTGCTCCAAAGCATTGGAAAGGTGTTTGCGACGGCGGAAAAAATTTCACTTGCAATAAGTATGTTCTCTTATGTATCATCATTGGCATTTAGAATCTTTTGTAGGTACTTCGTTGTGCATCGGCAACTGATAGTTTCTTTCGGCTATTATTCTTGACAGAAAGAGTAAACAGATAGAAACAAAATTATTTGGGATTCAATCATGTCCAAGGGCACTACCAAATTTAAAGGCTGGGTTTGGTACATTAACTGTACTAAAACCCCCATAGCAATTACCATACCGAACGTTTGGTATAACAAAATTTGTTACCCTTACCATGCTAAAATACCAAATAATTCAGTTAACATGGTGTGGTATTGGCACTACCACTTTGGTGGGCTATTTTTGTAACTAATTTAAAAACTCTGGGGACTCCAAACTGTTTAAGTGTGTTTTTTTTTTTGGCTAACTAATTTTTAAAGGAATTAAAACAAAATAACAAGTTGAAGATTTCTTTTTATTTTTATTTTTATAATAATGGTTTTAGCTTTGTAGTTACGAAGTACTTATTTTGCAGCAAGCTCATTGGAGCTCGATATTACACATCAGAGACTGCAAGGGATGATATAGGTCATGGAACTCACACATCGTCCACAGTGGCAGGCAGTGCTGTTAAGGATGTAACCTTTTATGGACTAGCAAACGGCACTGCAAGAGGAGGCGTTCCTGCTGCGAGACTTGTTGCATATAAAGTCTGTGATCCATGCAGAGATCACAATATACTGGCTGCTTACGATGATGCTATTGCTGATGGAGTCAACATTATTTCTATTTCACTTGTATCCGACTGGATAACTTCGATTCATCAGGACGTTGTTGCAATTGGTGCTTTTCATGCAATGAAAAAAGGGATACTGGTTTCGCAGGCTGGAGGCAACTTGGGCCCAGTTTGTTGCTTCTGTGACCAGTGTAGCACCATGGATATTGACAGTGGCAGCAAGTAGCATTGATCGGCTTTTTGTGGACAAGGTTGTTATTGGCAATGGAAAGACAGTAGCTGTATGTCATCAACAACGTCCTGTATCCTCGAAATAAATATTTTAGTATATACTTGTCTATTTATTTATGATTTTCTGTTATATTTTTTAATTGTCTTCACTCTAACAGGGGGATGACTGGATTAACATGTTCACATTAAATGGAACAAGTTTTCCTCTGATACACGGAAAAGATGCTGCAACGAAAAATTGCACCGAAGATGATGCTAGGTGATTCGTGTGTCATTTCTTCTCAAATTAAAATGACGTAAATGAATTGTTAAGCAACTACTGACTTCTTGTTGCATGTCAGACAATGTGAAGAGGGTTGCCTGGTAGATGATTTAGTTAAGGGAAAGATAGTGGTATGCGATAACGTCACTGGAGTTATAGGGGCAAACACGGCTGGTGCGCTCGGTTCAATTTTATTTAATCCATTTGAAGTTAATATTGCCGTTATTCCCACATTAGCCTCAGCACCTTTAAAGAAAGAAGAGTATAATGTTGTCAGATCCTACATGAATTCCACCAGGTACAGATTCTTTTGGATACCGAACAAGCAACCTTCTTGTCATATTTGCTCTCTTTCAATGATTGAGTGCTTCTGTTATTTTATAGAGATCCTCAAGGAAACATACTTAAAAGTGAAGTCACAAAAGATCCTGCTGCACCTACAGTCCTGTTCTTCTCATCACGTGGACCTAATGGAATTTTACCCGATTTAGTCAAGGTATATGTTTTGTGTCACCTTCTGTTTTATATCATAAATATCTCATAAATTATAAATATAGTATTAAAAATTACAGTGTCCTAATGTGTTTCAGCCGGATATAAGTGCCCCGGGGTATGAAATTTTGGCTGCGTTTCCACCTGTTCTTCCTATCACCGACTTTCCGGATGATAAGAGGCGTGCAAAATACAATATAGCATCTGGTACCTCCATGGCTTGCCCCCACGCTGCAGGGGTAGCCGCATATGTTAAAGCATTCCACCCTGATTGGTCTGCTGCAGCTATCAAATCATCTATTATGACAACTGGTAATGTCTTCATAATTTCTTTTGCTTCATAATAAGTCTCATTTTGATTTCTTAACTATGGTATTAAATCCTTGATTATGCATGTAGCTTGGCCCATGAACGATACCGACAACGATGTTTCAAATGGTGCATTTGCTTATGGATCCGGACATATAAATCCTGTAAATGCTATTAATCCGGGGCTAGTCTATGATGCTTCTGAAGAAGATTACATAAAGTTGCTGTGCACAATCTATGATGAAGGCACAGTTAGAAAAATATCTGGAGATAACAGCACATGCCCAACTGCTAAAGGATTTGTAAAGGATCACAATTACCCTTCAATGGGAGCTCAAGTTGAAGTATTGAAACCTTTTTCGATTAATTTTCACAGAAGAGTTAAAAACGTTGGTCTCGCAAACTCCACTTACAAGGCCAAAATCTTCTCGGATTCGAAAGTGGATATCAAAGTAGTGCCTGAGGTTCTGTCATTCGACTGCTTGAATGAGGAGAAGGATTTTGATGTAACCGTTGTTGGAAGCGGTGTAAGAGATCAATCACAAGTATCTGGATCACTGGTTTGGTCAGATGGTATTTACAGTGTTAGAAGTCCAATTGTTGTTTATGCATATGTTCACAGCTAGGGATGATCAAAGGTGTCTGCATATGTTCAGAACATGGTACATGAGTAATAATAAAGATTTAGATTTTTAATGGGTTTTGAGGAATAAAAAGCAATGAAATTCCATTTCTTATCTTCCTTTTTTTTTTCTTTTTTTTTTTTCTTTTTTTTTTTTTTTTTTTACTTTTTTCTATTAATTAAAACTAGCTCAAAATTAAGAAATAAGAAGAGAGTGACATTAACAATCAAACTACAAGTATTTTGGATCTGTTTAACACAACTATATTTCCCTTTGCGAAATATAAATAGGTTTTGCAATTTTTTTTTTTCGATACAAACCATATTAGGGAGGGGGGATTTGGCATCCTCCTCCCTATTCTTGGATTAAGGTGAACACAGACAGTCTTGCTAAGGGTAATCTAGGTATAGCAGTGTCTGGTGGGGTCCTCCAAGGTTCTTCAGGTTATTTTCTTGGTAACTTTTTTTCCAGGGTTTTGGACACCACGTACTTCTTTCTAGGGATGTGATATCTACACATAATTTTTTACTTTTCATACACTTTTTTAATTTTCGGTCATCGAATCGAATGAATTGAAAAGATTAAATGACAAAAATTAACAAGAGATGTGTGAGAAGTAAAAATAGATGTGTGGATAGCACACCATTTCTTTCTATGCAGAGCTTAATGCTGTCATCCTCGCTGTTGAGTTGGCATGTGCACAGAGTTGGAAAAATCTGTGGCTTCGAAGTGATTCTTCCAACATGATTGCTTGTTTTGTTTCTAGGTTTTCCAACACCCCCCCCTTTCTCCCCCTCTCTCTCTCTCTCTCTCTCTCTGTGTGGCTGCTACAGATTCGCTGAAAAAATTGTCTTTCTCTTCTACAGAAAATGGATTTTCGTTTGCTCTCATATTTCTCAGGAAGGGAAAGTTATTGCTGGCCGATTAGCTAACATAGGGCTACTCCCCTCGACAATCGTTTGGCATCGCACACCGCCCTTGCCAATTATTCCATGTCTGTGGTCATATTTTTTAGGAATCCCGGCTTACAATTTTGTATCAACTTCTTGATTTATGGTTTTGTTTTCCTAATCATTTGCTTTTGGTGTTTTGCACTACAGGTTCTTACCTATTAGTTAGGCTTTGTTTGAGAGGGGGTTAGGTTATTCCCCCATGCTTGTATGTTTTGTTTCTTTTCAAGAGTGTGGTTAAGTTTATGCCCCCCACTCTTCGTTTGTTCTTTTCTATCTTTGATGAGGGGTAAAATTTATATCCCCTACTAGGTGTAACTTTTATTTTATTTTATTTTTTTGATATTTCAATGAAATCATCCTGGTACCGTCGAAGTTTTAAATAAATAAAAAAAAGGAAAGGAGGATTTGAACACAAAATGTGAGAGTGCAAGGATAAACACGGTTAAACACTTGTTTAGTAATGGTACAGGCTCATTCAAACCACCTCATTTTTTAGATTTGTTGCTTTAAAGTGTCGTGAAAATTCCTCCAAAAAGAATGATGAAACTATACATAAATTGAGAAAAAGAAAATTCCCATACAAAAAATATGGCATACTTGTTTGGGCCATAAATAAAAATAAGGCCCATTATGAGGTCTATCCATTTTTATATACTCAAAAGTCGTATGACTTTGACCCACCAACTTTGAAGCACAAAATCAGAGCTTGGACGATTATCTCATTTTACTCTAAAACTTACTAAAACTTTATTGCTTTTTTACATTTCCAGTCAATTTACATTACAAGTTATGTAGCTTGGTCTAGATTTTACTTATGTGAACGTTTATAATCTAGACTTCATCTGAAATAGTTACAAGTAGCTCGGTCTAGATTTTACTTTTGTGAACATTTATAATCTTCACTTTGTCTGAAATAATTACACTTTGTTTCTTGTTTTAGTTTCTATTTCACTTTTATTTACTTTATAGGCAAGCATACACGAAGTTACACTAAATTTTAAGTCCTCGTTCGCTTGAGGCACATAAAATAACTTAATTGAATCAACATCCCACTCGATGCATAATTATTTGGTTCAGAAATCATATTAACACACACTCAAACACAAGCACTTTTTGTAGGCAGCCTCAAACAATGGAACGTCTACTCTCTCTTTCTCTCGAGCCATCTTTTGGCATTGAGACAAAAAGCTACACTCAGGACAAATACGTGTTGAACCCAGTCTAGACTCCGTTCGAGTTTTGACACCGAAATTAATGCTTATTTTTCAGCAAGCTCATTGGAGCTCGACATTATGGATCCGAGTCTGCAAGGAATGAAATCGGTCATGGAACTCACACTGCCTCAACTGTGGCAGGCAATGCTGTTAAGGATGTAAATTTTTATGGACTAGCAAACGGTACTGCAAGAGGAGGCGTTCCTGCTGCAAAAATTGCAGCATATCAAGTCTGTATTCCACGCTGCCAAACACTTTACTGGCTGCTTTTGATGATGCTATTGCTGATGGAGTTAACATCATTACAATTTCACTTGGACAATTAGATCCGATTGATTTGGATGAGGATGCCATTGCAATTGGTGCTTTTCATGCAATGAAGAAAGGGATACTGACTTCACAGGCTGCAGGCAATTTAGGTCTTGGTATTGCCTCTGTGTCAAGTGTAGCACCATGGATATTGACAGTTGCGGCAAGTAACACAGATCGCTACTTTGTTGACAAGATTGTTCTTGCAAGTGGAACGACCCTTGTTGTACGTCTCTTCAACTTCCTTTATCCTCAGAAATTAATTCATTTAGTGTACTTCTTAATCTATTCAGAATTCCGATTTTATTTTAGTGCGTTTTACTCATCTTATAAAACAGGGTAATTCAATTAACACTTTCGTATTAAATGGAACAAGTTTTCCTCTGATATATGGAAAAGATGCTGGAACGAAAAATTGCACTGCAGAAGATGCACGGTAATTCTTATGTCCGTTTCTTTTTAATTGCAGAAATTATAACCTGAATTGTTAACATAAAATTGCTTTACAGAAATTGTGAAGAAGGATGCTTGGATAGTGATTTGGTTAAGGGAACGATAGTGGTATGCGATGAGATACAAGGAGATAGAGCGGCATACAAATCTGGAGCACTTGGTTCAGTTACACTTAATGAAGTTGGATATAATGTTTCTCCTGTTCCCTTATTGGCCTCAACAACGTTAATGAAGGAAGAGTATAATTTGGTCAGGTCCTACATGAACTCCACCAGGTATAGATTCTTTCGATACTCGTAAGGGGATTGTCTCAATAAATTCTCTCTTTAAGTTTACTTATGCTTGTGTTATTTATAGAGATCCTCAAGCAAACATATTTAAAAGTGAAGTCGTAAAGGAACCTGATGCACCTACAGTTGCTTACTTCTCTTCGCGTGGACCGAATCTAATTTTACCTGATATAATTAAGGTAATGTTTCAAGCCACCTTTCATTATCTGTCATAAAATTTCAGTGCTGCATGTGGTAATAACAATTACATTCCGCTATGGTTTCAGCCAGATATAACTGCCCCAGGGGTAGATATCTTGGCTGCGTATCCACCAGAACTCCCTATTACAGTCCCACAAGACAAGAGGCGTGCAAACTATAATATACTATACGGAACCTCCATGTCTTGCCCCCACGCTGCTGGTGCAGCTGCATATGTTAAAGCATTCCACCCTGAATGGTATCCGGCGGCCATCAAATCATCTCTTCTGACTACCGGTATTGTCCGCATAACAGCTGCTAATTGATTAGTCACACACTTTCATTCGCTAACTTTTTTCGTCTCATGTAGCCTGGTCCATGAACCATACCAACAACAACATTTCTACTGGTGCATTTGCTATAAACGCGGGGCTCGTGTATGAAGCTTCTGAAGAAGATTACATAAACTTGTTATGCACAATCTATGATGAAGGCAAAGTCAGACAAATATCAGGAGATAAAAACAGCACATGCCCTATAGGTTCTGCTAAAGGATCCGCAAAAGATCACAATTACCCTTCAATGGGAGCTAAAGTTGAACCATCCAAACCCTTTTCAGTTAATTTTTATAGAAGGGTTAAAAATGTAGGCCTTGTAAACTCCACTTACAGTGGTCAAAATCTTATTGAATTCGAAAGTAGATATCAAAGTAGTGCCTGAAGTTCTTTCGTTCAAGTCCTTAAATGAGGAGACAGATCAATCACAAGTATCTGGATCACTAGTTTGGTCTGACGGGGTTCACAGTGTTAGAAGTCCGATTGTTGTGTATGCATATATTCAAATTAAGCAACAGAACATGGTTGCATGAGCAATGATATATTTACATTTTGAAAGGGTTTTAGATGAATGGAAATAAAAGAAACTAAATTTACTGAAGTCCGTTTGCATTTTTTTCCCTTTTTCGCTCAACAATCAACCATCACCGTAAAAAATTGAAAGTAACTGCATAACACAATTAATATTTTTCAAGGCCACCGAAGTTAATGGTCTGAAAGTATCCCAAAATGTTACATTTTCCTCTTCATAATCATTATATATGACGATTTGTTCATCCTCGATATAATATATTCTTGTAGAATCCAATGTTGAGAGCACAAAAAATGAAGAAAAGAAAAATGGGTGTCTAAGGTAATAAAATGGACCATCAAATATAAGAGAAATTGGCTGCGAACATCAAGGACTTCGGCATACTACTGCCGAACATTTTATGTAGGTTGGTTTGATGGTACGCTCGCACTGTTAGGGAATTGGATCCGCTCTGGACCTTAGTGTCGAGAGCTTAAGGATCAATTCATCTGGGCCACTGATTGGTGTGTAAAAGAAATCAAAGACGTTAGTTTTGTGTGGTGGGCCAAAAAAATGAGTTAATGAGAACCATTTGATTGAATTTATGTGACTCAGATGAATTGATCCCCAGGCTCTGGACTCCAATTCCCAGTGTTAGAAGTCCAATTGCTGTATACACTCAACCCCTAAACGAAACCGTTTAGGTTATAGCCCAAGTGGCGAATGAATTTGGACTATTGAGTTCACATTGGAATAGGCATAGACTTTAATTCTCTCCAACGTAATAAAAACAATTTTTGGGCATGAGTAATAAAATTGATATTTATTTTTTTGTAAATAGACAAAAGTAACCCTATCGAATTTTTATT